AACCAAACCCTATGATTTTTCTTCTGTAACTTCTCTGTCTGTTTATCTTCTCCTTTCGCCGCTGCCCACCGATAAACTCTTCCGCCCCCACTTCTCTGTTAGTTCTTCATGTTAGTGTAATCTATGATTGAATATTTTTGGTTGACGTTAAAACTTTTTTGTTTTCAGTAATTGTTTAAAATTACCGTTTTAGTAAATTCCTTTGTCTAAAACTACTCTTAAAAATATATATTGAAAAGGGTTTTTTTTTTAGCAAACCAGATTTGTATTAAAGAGATGATTACACTCCATATGAGGAGGAATTACAAACTGATAAAAGAGCCAACTTAGCTAGAGAGTCAGCAGTGACATTATTTTTGCGAGAATAAAAGTAAAGGAAATAGTTTCAAAAAATAGACTTAGGAGACTAATATCATAGAGTAGACCCTTTAACTCGTTGGTAGAATTACCAGAGTTGATTAGGGAAATAAGTACTTGGGAGTCGGAGAACATTCTCAGCTCGTGGATGTCGGCTTTCCTTGTTGCTGCTAACGCCTTTTTCATGGCTAAAGCTTCAGCACACAAAGCTGAGCCGACGTGGTTTCTATGGTTAGAACCCTCGAACAGAGGAACTTGTTCTGCATCCATGAAAGACCACCCCATTCCGCAGCCTCCAGTGGTTATGTTCCATGCTGCGTCAACATACCCTTTAGTGGCATTGGGGATAAGTCTGTGGGAAGGTGGAGGTGGTACGAACTTAACCGGAGCTGAAATCTGAAACTGAGCTTGGTGCTATTCCCTTGCCTCTTTGATCGATTTGAGCACTGTATCTTCTTCGGAAAACATCCGGTTCTCGAACACTAGTTGGTTACGCGTTTTTCAAAGATTCCATAATAACCAAGGGTAGAATGGCGTCGAGCCTATTCCGGTTGGAGGTAAATTGAGCATCCTCAAGAGCTTTTGGAGTAGCTTACTAGTTGAATCTATACTCACTTGTTGAGGTTTGAAAAGGGCAGGGGCCAACTCCCAAACTTGAGAAGCAAATAGGCAAGAGAATAAAAGGTGAAGCTCATCTTCTTGTTGATTGCATCGTTTACACAGGCTGTCTA